GAAGACTATGATTTTGAGTTGCACTATCATCCAAAGAAAGCCAATGTTGTGGCCAATGCCCTTAGTGAGTATCATGGCAAGTGTGGCCATTCGAGAATGGATTATGTTGGGTGGTATTGACGAGTGTCACTTGCATGTTGGCGAGTGTAGTGAGGGTACTACCTTGTTTACTCTGATTACGCAACCTACCTTAATTAGCAAAGTCATAAAAGCTCAACAAGGTAACCATAAGGTGGAGACAATCCGCGAGAAAATCTCCAGTGGGAAGGAAGAGAGGGGTTTGAACATTTATTCGAATCTTAATGTGAGGTATTTAGACCTTTTGTTTGTGCTAAAACCTTGTAGAGAGGAGGTACTTCGGGAGTTTCATTATTCACACCTTGCGGTACATCCGGAAGGCACAAAAATGTACCTAGATCTTAGTCATCAATTTTGGTGGAGGGGCATGAAACAAGATGTTGCTTCATTTGTATCAAAATGCCTTACTTGTCAACAAGTGAAGGTCGAACACCAAAGACCAGCGGGTTTGTTACAACTCTTGGAAGTGAGGACATGTCACCATGGACTTCATGGTTGGACTTTCGAGGACAAAATGGTGTAACGATGTTGTTTGGGTGATTTTTGATAGGTTGACTAAGTTTACACACTTCATCCATATGCACACAGGCAACTCAGATGATTATTTGGTTGAGTTGTACATTAGAGATATAGTTCGACTTCATGGGGTCCCGGTGACCATTGTTTCAGATAGAGACCATCGTTTCACCACCCGATTGTGGCAAAGCCATCAAGAGGCATTGGGAACTAAGTGGTGTTTTGAGAAGATGGTAAAAAGCTGACTTTTTGGCTTTTTAAACTTTTTTCACTGTTTAATGTGAAAGGTGATATGATCCAAAAAAAAAACTAGCTTTTAGTTTTTTTGGTCCCTGCCCAAAACATCCTTAAGTTGACCTTTAGCACAGCCTATCATCCTCAAACCGATAGGCAATCTAGGTGTACTATACAAATTTTGGAAGATATGCTTAGGGCTTGTGTTTTAAATTTCAAGGGGTCATAGAAGAGACACCTACCGTTGATTAAGTTTACCTATAACAATGGTAACCAAGCAAGTATCAGAATGGCACCGTTTGAGGCCTTGAATGGCCAACATTGTAGATCGTCGGTTTGTTGGGCCGAAGTGGGTGATGCACCGATGTTGGGCCCATAATTAATCCAAGAGACAACCGAGATAGTTGCTCTCATCCAAAAGAGATTGGTTACAGCTCAAAGCTGACAAAAGAGTTATGCCTACAAGATGAGACGACCTCTATCTTTTGAGATCGGTGACCACGTATTTTTGAAAATCTCACTGAGATGGGGTTTGATGAGGTTTGGGAGTGGGAAACTATCTCCAAGGTTCATTGAGCCATTCGAGATCTTAGAGCAAATCAGAGAGGTAGCATACCATTAGCCTTACCGCGACAACTGTTCAGGGTTCACGATGTGTTTTATGTTTCCATGCTTAGAAAATATGAACCCGACCCTTCATATGTACTTGATTGGGTTGATTTAGAGGTAGATGAGGATGTCTCTTATGAAGAATGACCAGTCCAAATATTAGATACCTAAGAATAAGTGTTGGGGGACAAGACCATACCCTTGGTGAAGGTGTTATGGAGACATCATGGTGTTGACGAAGCAAATTGGGAACGGGAAGCGGAAGTCCGCTCCAAATACCCAAATTTGTATAATAATACTTAGTTGATTTAAAATCGTTGTGTACCTAGATGTCGTGGTGGAAATTGAACATTTCATTGCGAATTATTAACTGTTGAACTCCTTGTGATTATGAAAAACAAAGATTTTGCAAAAATCATCAAAGTTATTGAAATTACCATGTTGTTGAAAGTGTATTAAGTGATCATATCATTAATATTTGGCATAAATCTTGCAGTATGGAATTGTTGGGGAAGAACTTGTTTTTGTAGAAAAGATTGGTTTAATTTCGAGGACGAAATTCTCTAAGGTGGGGAGGCTATGATGTCCAAATCCTTTAAAGCTAATTGAGTACATTAATTGATAATTTTGGTACCTTTGTGTTGTCTCCATCATTGTTGAACCTTTTGAGTATGGTGTTGTTATCTATTCCTCGTTGTGGTTGTTCTGGTAAGTACATCTTAGTATGTTCCGAGATGTCATCTTGTGCTTTTGAGTGTTGGACAAAAACCAAGAAAGTTGGTTAATGTTTTATGTTACCTTGTCTCACTTTTAGGTTGAGAGCGCTTGAGCGGTCTTTTGGTCGCTCAAGCAGTGAAATCGACGTTCTAGTTTCTTGGTTTGCAGTCTGAACTTCTGAGAGCATGCATTCTTCGCTTGAACGAAGCTTTCATTACTCGAGCAGTCTTTCACAAAAAGGAAGTAGAGATTCTAGGAGTTGGTATTTTTCACTCAATTGATCATTTGAGAAATCTCTCAAATTTGAATTATTTGCTCGAGCACAAGTTTGGTCGCTCGAGCGGTCTGTCCGCAGTCTGCTCTGAAAATTGTGTCAAATCACTTCAAAAGTTGAACCATGCACACTTTCCTATCACTTTTCACTTTACAATCTCTCTCTACATTAACTCTTAATCTTTTCTCTCATCTATCTCGAGAAAACCCTCTATTCACTTCATGTACTCCTTGATCTCTCTTTATCTATTGAGATTTTGGCATTAGTGTCTTCTTTAATTTTGGAGAGCTCGTCAAGGGCTACATTGTGTACGGCAGAGATCGGATTTTAACGCCGTTGATTTCGAAGCTTTTCATATTTTCTTCCCTAAGTCTCAAGGTAGGGATTTTCTTTGAGTTATATATATAGTTTTAGCATATCTTGTTCTTTTCACTACAATTTGTAGTTTAAGTTTGTGTTTTGAGATGTTAAACCTAGGAAATGTTAGAGAAATGATTTCTTTCTCATGATTTGGTCCAAGATAAATCATTTTGTGAACTATGAACCCTTTGGGGATGTATCTTTGTAGTTATTTTGAAAATGAAGGGAAAACCCTCCTTTGATCAAACCCTAGGTTTTTGGGTTAATTTGGGAAAAGGTGAAATTGGTGTAATATTCATGAAATTGATATTAAATCTCTTGTGAAATTGAAGAAACCTTCCTTAGGTTGTTATGTTGTTGAGGCATTCATGAAAGGAATAAGAATTTCGGTTGAACAATTATGGTAATATGTGATGTGTATGTTTGGATTTGGAAAATTTGAACAAAAATGGATGTTGATTGTGAATATGAGGAAATGTCATATGTCACATGGATTCGTACCTTACCATGATTTTGAGAACTATTGAACCATGGAAGCTTTATTTGAACAAATGTGATAATTATGGAGATATTGGGCAAATGAGATATTTATATGCAATTATTTCTCATTCCATTCATTTGCATTATCTTGAATATTATTCACTTGATCTTGACTCAAAAATTTATTTATTGTTTTGAGAAAACAACTATTATTGTTAAAAACGTTTTGGGGTAAATACGTTTGGTAAGTTCGGTTAGGGGGTGTAGATTGGGAATTAAGTTGGCTTGAGGGTCGTTGGTGTAAGACCAAAAACACATATGTATGGGTACCTAAGCCCTGCGGTTAGTAACCGATAAAGTAGGATTTGATAGTGCTTGATACGCCTACTTGCAAACACCAGACTTGGAGAATTACCATAGTCATATTTACCACCACATTGTTTAAATCTTGACTTTCATGAAGATAATGAACCTTGAATGAAATATTACATGGATTTTGAAAGAAATGGAAAAACTTTGACATTCGAACATGATATTGCATTGCATACAATTATATGAGATTGCTTAAAACATATGTATTTTGTTAAGATATCTCTACCGGGCCTTGTGCTCACCCCTAGTGGATTTGTTTAAGAAATGATGTTGTGATCCCGCCTAATTGAAGGTGTGGAATGTATTGAGGGAGGTTTGCAATGGTGGCCGAGATTCACAATGGCTCCTGGCGATAGTGGTGGCGGTGAGTGGTGGCTAGGGTGAAGTTAAGTTAGCAAGAGTTAGGGGTATTTTTTTTTTATTTTATAAGAAAAGATGTACTCTGAATAAAATTTAATATTTAAAAACATAATTTCTCACACTTAATTATCTCAGTACACATACTTAATGAAATATTATTTTAATAGCAATTATGTCCTAAACTAAAATGACTATAATGGACATCCAATAGCATCCATAATATTATATAAAAATATTCTCTGGAAAAAAAAAAATCTCTATATATACCTTTTGGAGTAAAAAAAGACTAAACCCTAATTTTTCCATTGTTATCATTTTGCTTGCTACACACTCTATACTCCTCTGTTGCTTGCCAAACAATGCACTCATAACAACTCTCATATTACTTTAATCTTTAGATTTATACTCTATTAGTGATGAAAATATTAGTTTTTATCATGCAGAACTTTCTTTTTTCTTTTTGCAGTTTTCAGTCGGACAACCAGTGCCAAATTATTTCATTATATTTGGATATCAATTACCAAATTATTTCATTATATTTTGATATCAATTGCCGAAAGTTTATTTAATTTTTTTTTCGGAACAAATTTGTCGAACTAATCCCTTTTATTCGGAAAGTTAAGTTTCAGATTAAATGTATAATTTCGAAAAATCAGTGCCGAAATTCCCAAACTGAAAAACATAAAAATTAAAAAAAATTTAAAAAAAAACAAGAGTTGAGTGGTGTGTGCACAATAATTATAAGTGAAAGGTATAATTATAATTTTTAATATGTGAATTGAAAAAATTAATTAATAAATATATATCTACTAAAAAAAAAATATGCACCGAAAATTAAATAGGTGGAAATCGAATTTCTCCATCTAATGATTGTGTAATGGAATTACTCCAAATTCAAATCGGTATTCATAATCCTGGACAAATGCCCAATGGGCCCAAATGGCCCGTGGGCCTTGGAGAAATTGCACAGTTCCACCTCTTCTTGATGAGAGAGAGAGACAGAGATATTTGGAGTTGGGGCAGACGTAGACATGCGAGGGACTCATGGCGAAACGTTTCTAGCGTTCTCTCCCACGCAACTCTCACACGCTTCTTTTCTCTCTCTTTCTATTTCTACGTATACATCTATGTATCTATGTTTATATATATCGTCGCTCTCACCTTCGTTCTCATCTCCGAATCCTCTCTAGTATTAGTTCACTTTACCAGTCAACGATCTCTCGTAAGTTATTTTCTCCCTCATTGATTCTATTCTTCTGCAAAAATCTTCCTTCTGTTTGGTTGCCGAGAAAATGCTGGAAACTAAAACAAATTTCTCTACCTAACCACTCTGAAAACCTCAATTGGACTTGCTCTAGCTTAATTCTTTCGCTTAAGAAATTTCTAGTTCGATTTATTGTCCTGCTGTTTTCTAAAAAACTTAAATGTGGAGGGGTTTGATTCTTTTGTTTGCGTGCTCAGAAAACGCATGAAAATACAAGAAAATTGACTTAGGCCTCGTTTGGGAACAGACTAATTTAGTAACTTTTTGGCCTTTTTGACTTTTTACGAAAAGATGTGCAAAAAGTAGAGAGAAAAGAGAATCTTTCACTTTTTGTATGAGTTGTTGGCTTTTTGGCTTTTTTAGTAACTTTTTGGCTTTTTTAGCTAAAATAGCCTCTTGCCAAACGAGGCCTTAATTTGAATTTTAGATTTTCGGACAAAGTTAAACTCATCATAATACAAACTACTTTGCTTGCATGACTTTACTCATTTAAAAGCAGGAGGATGCAAGATATATTATTATGCCTACATACATATACATACTGTGCATAAGATGAATTCAAAACCTGAAACTGAAACGGTTTTTGAATTGTGTAGTTAATGCAAAATTTTAGTTTCCACGTTTGCCCCAAAGTTTGTGAAACCGAATCTATTATTTGTGAGGGCAAAATTAGTAACAAAAATGGTGACACAGTATATAATAGATAGATAGAATAGATACAACAGGAGATAGGTGTATATGGTTTCTTGTGATTTTCTCAGCATTCAAACATTGGATCAAATTAGATTCTTGCTATACGGCAATGTGAATTTTTTATCTTTTTTTTTGTTATGGTTGGGTGTTTAGATTACATATCAATGGCGTTGTGTGGGATTGGCTGGTGTCCAAGTCGGGAAAGTGTTGAAGTACCAAATCTTATCTTTAATTTGTCGACAAGACCGATCAGACCAGCTTTTGTTCGTTTGATGGGTAAATATGATTATTCAAGTCCAATAAGAAGCCCAAGAATAAGATGCTCATTATCAAGGACAAATGCAACTCCATTGGAGTCCGAGGAGAGTGCCAGTGCCACTTTCTCAGATTCTTTGGAGGAAGAATTGGGTCATGTTATGAAGTTCAAGATGTCTGATTTTAAGATTCGTGATCGGGTTAGCATTGGCCTCAGTGGGAGGGTATGGAGAATTTAAATCTGTTTCTAAGATATGTTGTAATGTTGCAGAGATGATCTTTATCATATTTCCATATAATTAATCAGTTTGAACATTCTTCCAGGCGGATGAGATAGTTTTTGAAGCGGTGTTGAAGGATGTTCATAGGTTAGTTCAAAATATCTGCATGTGAAGTATTTAATAAACTATTTTTTAAGAGGTTGAACTTGAGTGTTTGTTTTTATGACTTAGCCCGTTGCATAACTCAAGAGTCGTGCTACGGCGACTTACCAGTGCTCAAGCTCAGCGTAGAGGGAAACGAGCAATAGAGGTTTGTGGATTGTGTATACTGAAATTTGGTACTTCATTCAATTAGTAACTATGGATTCCTCTCTTACTGTCATATTGGCATGTATTGTAGGTATTAAAGAAGCTAGCTCGCCGTAGACTTATGTATCATTCTTACTCGATGCAAGTTCATGGTTATGTTGACCCATCTACAAGTGGTGATTATGGTTCATTTACCATAGTTCACGGGGTAGGTCTTTTCCCAAGCAAGACAATCTCTTATATAATTATATTCCTGTTTGTGCAGTGATACCTTTGTAGCAGAGGTAGGGACTAGGGAAATGGATTAATTGGTTATGACTAGGCTTAGCTGAGAAATTTCTCTGTTGAGGATCCATGCCTTTTGTTGTATGGAGTGTTAGTTGAGTACCTTAAGGTTAATTGGTTGATGTTCAATTTTTTTTCAAAGGCTTATGAGTGTATTAAAAATGAAAACACCCCCTTTTTTAAGTATTGATTAATGTAATGGACCTTTCTACTTTGGATGCTGTACAGAGAGAAGTTTCTGCCATTTTTGTCATCATCCCTATTATTTCAAGATGCTGCTGAATAATAATCATGATTCTTAGAGGAAAATTGAGTCTCAAGTCTCTTTTATTTTGGCAGTATCACGGCAGTTTTTCTTTAAGACATTGGCTTCAACAGTCAGATTGGCTTCCAACATTAGAAGCTACTCTTGCTTTAGATGAGGAATCTGTTAGGAGGGTGGGAGATGACACAATTGGAGGACCTGCTGTTTCTCGACAGTTGCGCCTTATTCGAATTCTAATGAGGGATCTCTTGATTGGAGTATGCTCAACAATACCATACATACTCTTTTGTTGTGTCATGATTCTGACACATGGTACTTCTTTATAGGTTGGATTGGTTGATGGCTTTTGTTGTTTGTCTTCCTTAGGTGAATTACTTACACAGCCATGGACTTGCTCACACAGAGTTGAGGTTGGAGAATGTGCATATTAGCCCTGTGGATAGACATATCAAAGTGAGTACCATTCTTTTTCTCTTTACTAAAAGAAGGGTAAAGTGGGGTTTGGGGAGGGCAAGACTTAGACAACCTTAGTTTCAATTCTAGATCGGTTGTTTTCGTGACTCAAACCCATGCTGCCAGGATGCAAATGACAAGCTTTACTGTTGGGTGAAGCCACCTTTCCATTAATTTCTCTTTATTTCAAGTTAGAATTAACTGTGATGATTGTTCTAGTTACATAGGGATTATAGGTACAATATTTTGTAGTAGTAGTCGCTGGTTTTGCTTGTTTGATAACCTGTGAACGACCAGGAAGTTCTGGTGTTGCAGTGGTCCATGATTGAGCTCGTGTTAATTTGAAAATATATATAAAATTGAATGTGTTTGGGTTTAAACCCACGCAACATGGGAAAGCACACCCACAATTCACATGCACAATCCAAAGAGAAAAATGGAGAATTTATAGTGTTGCACAAATCTAGCTACATTCATGGGTATGTGAGAAATTCACTATAAACTGTAGAAAAACTACAGGTTTGAGACAATCCAAAATACCTAAAACCCAACACCAATACTTGAGTCTTGAAATAATCCCTGTTTCCCTACTCAACTCCAATGTCCAGATCTCCTAAAGTCAAACCCACTTCTCTGTTCGTTGGTGTTTTTCATGTCTCTCCCTCGTATCTCTGTAAATCCTCTCAATCTCACTTACCCTAGCATTCCTACAAGTCTCCTATTTATAGGCAAACGCTAAAAATCTTAGCATCATACAATCAAGATGCACACCCAACGATCTCCACCTAGGTTTGAATTATGCAAGCCATCATGTGCATAACCAGTGTTGATTTTGCCACTTACTATCAATCTGATACACCTAAACTAGCATGACATGCATCTTCACACCTAGGTCCCATGCCCCAACCTATGTTACATGGACTCTTCAAATTAAATCAATTACTTGTATCAGACTCCTTACACTTGGACAAGGGTGTGAGATATGTATCCAATATTTTCCATTGGACATGTCTTACATAATTATATTTGACACTATCATTATATATGTATATTGTTGCATAATTCTTATAAAATGAGTAACATGCATTTTGGACACTGTACATTACATATAACACCATTTTATCTTACATAATAGATTAAAAATATAAAAATATGACTCTTGAATTAACTGTGGTGTACTTGTGGGAAACTCTTTGCCGAAGGCTTGTGCACTCTTGGGGATTAGTCGGACTTTGATCCGGACACCCCGGTGCCAATCAAAAAATAATAATAATAATAATATGACTCTTTTTTGCCAAGTCCCAATACAACCTTTAAAATTGAGGTTTGAAGGGTCTGACCTCTTCATATGCACTTGCAATCGACCCCTAGTCCATGTAACATGGGCCCTAACAAAGTTCACTACTTTGTGGACTAGTGGAACTCCACATTTCCTCCTCCACATGCACAACATACAGACCATCTCAATTTCTCTGTCTATAGCTTAGCCAAAAATTACACACCTTACACCTAAGCTTTGATATGTTGCTTCTATGTACACACATGTATCACATGTGCTCCTCTGCAACTATTGCTCACCCATATGCTTTACATGTGTGCGCTGCCCACCCAAACTAGTTTCATTTTTGGCAATAGCTTTATCACAACAATACGCACTAGTCTGTATATAAATTGTCAATCATCTATCTATCATCACAATCTTGTCTGTTGACGCCCCTAGCAATTAAAACCCCAAATGCAGTCATCTGTCGATTGGTTTTTACCTTTTACCAAATTCCCCTCGATCACCCTTTATCACTGCGTGCAAACTCAATCATTCTTGGTCAAACTTGATCTCCATAGATCTATCCAATCGAATAAAACCATGCAAAATCTTGAAAAATTGGGCTCACCAATGAATCTGCAACATCTAAAATCACCTTCCCCCTCAATTTTGGACCATCTTCATCAAATCGTGTTGTGCTTGGAATTTTCTGTTGCACTGGTGTGTCACAATCAATCACACAACCTGTGATTTAAAACATCGTGCCACACCAGATCGCTCTCCGTGTCAAACCAAACTTCTACTGATAGAGTTTGTTGTTTTGTCTTTCACATCAAAAGAGATGATCATTGTAACATTTTTTCTCTTTTCTTGCAATCATACCATTGCAATCTATTTTTCTCGTCCTCTGCATGTTGACATCTCTATATTCAAACTATATCCAAAAATTTATACCGGATACCACTTCTTGTTGGGGTTCAAACCCACACAAACATGAATGCATACCCACAATTTACTTGCACAATTCAAAGAGGGGGAAAAAAAAAAAGAAAGAAAAAATGAATTTATATGGTTAGGTATAAATTTGTCTACATAAACAAGTGAGAGAGAAATCCATTATATAAAGAAATTGTTGGTATGAGTATGGGACAATGCAAAACACCCAAAATTGGACAACAATACCTATCCATGAAGCAATCCCGGCTTCCCTACTCAGTTCTAGTGTTACTCCCCTCGGATTTGATGATTTGATGACCCAAAGCCATGTACGTGAACAGTAACTTAATGTGGCTGGTGGCATTTGAATTATAAATAAAAGATTTGTTTATTAATTAAATACTTAAAGTGACAAAACTTGTTTAGAAAACCATTTAATGTCAAGTGTCAAGTTGGTCAAATTGCTATGGATGGTATGGTGACCTCACACCCACCCTATGCAAGCAACAAACACCCAATCATCATTTGGTCCCACAACATGAATAAATTACACATATTACAATTGTTTAGCGGCTTACAAACTAATTGATGCAAGTTAGCTTAAGGGCTATTCTGGGGCTGTGAAAGTGTTGAAGTTTAAGTAAGAAAGAAAGAAAGGAGAAGAAGAAGATAGGTCTAGGAATCACTCCTAGAATTCTTTAAGCATCGCAGCTAGGGTTTGATTGCATCACACAATCCATAAAAAGCTTCAAAGCTCTAAAAATTTTCTAAAATATTAAGTATATTGTATTAGAAGCATTACATGACTTTATATAGATTTTAGAGACTTTCTAGAACAACTAGAACCAAAAAATGAAACTACTATAATATCTTGGACTTCCAAAACTAATTTAAGACCAAATAAGAAAAATAAATAGAACTCAATTAAATAACTTGACTCCCAAGATGACCCATGGGCGACTCCTATAACCCATGACAACAATAATGAAAATTACCAAAATACCCTTGACCTAAAAATTCTAGAAAATATAAAAATAATCATAAAATAAGACTCTAATAATACTAGTAATATTATTTTATAAATTCCTATCAATTTCTCTTTGACATCATGCTAACATCCAAATATCATTCAACTTGTTTGGTTTCATTTTTTTAAAAACAGTTTTCAAAAAATTCTACTTTCTTATTTTCCGTATTTTTTTGTTTTTACTGAATTTTTTTTAATATTTTAAGCAATTTTTTTTTAATTTTTAGACACACTTAACATAAATACACATAAAAAGTATAATTTTTGTGAAAAAGTCTTTAAAAAATTCAATAAATACCAAAAATACGAAAAAAATACGAAAATTAGTATTTTTTCGTATTTTTATGTATTTGTTAATTTTTTAAAATGTTTTTTCACAATTTTTTTACTTTTTAGATACATCTAAGTAAGGTACATCTAAAAAAATAAAAAAAAAAATGTTTAGAATTTTAAAAATATTCACTAAAAACAAAAAAAAATACAAAAAATAAAAAACTCAATTTTCAAAAAACTTAATCTAGAAAACTCAAACCAAACACACTGATTGCTTCTTTGAATTTAGCCTTCCTTGAGTTTTTTATACTCTGCATCATTCTCCCTTGGTTGGAAAAAACTCGACCTCGAGTTTTGAAGTGTTGAAGTATAAGAATCCAAAAGTATTGGAATTGCACCCAAATCTTCATATAAAATGTTCAAGTTGACATCGCCTTTTCTTCTCCATTGGGGGTAGTAAGGAGAAGACAATGAGCTAGTTTCAATTGCAAAGTTGAACTTCTCCGAAATGATAAAATCAATAGAAGAAAGAGATACATCTTTGAAATGGTCTAAACCTTGTGCTGCAAAATTTTTCCCACAGATCCTAATATCTTTTGGATTGATGACGTCTGAATACTTCCTATCATATCATCCATTTTGGCCTTCATGCTCTTACCTTGTCTTTCAAACAAAATGTCATCATGTGATTCAACATTGCCCTTTTCTTCAATGGAATCATGACTTGTCATTGAGTGAGACATGATATATTGATTTAAATTGAATTATATGTTATGTTGCAAGGTTAAGCAACCTAGGGTATGTTTGGTTTAGTTTTGGAAGAGTAGTTTTTAAAAATTATTTTGGGAAGAGAGTTTAGAAATTTTTTTGGTTTGTTTGGTTGTGTATTTTGAAAGTAGTTTTGGAGTTTTGGAATTTGGAATGATTTGATATTGTTAGAATTTACCATAACCCACTCCACCTACCACCTCCACTACCACACACACTCACCTACTTCACCTACTTTCCTACACCTACCACACACACTCACCTACTACCCAAATCCTCTTCTATATAATAGGAATCCTTGTAATATCAAATATAACACAACAATCTTGTAATACATCAATCAATAATATACATCAATTTATTTTACATGGTATCAGAGCTAGGTTAACAACCTAGTCATTCTGCTTCACCGGCGGGCGGCAGTCTCGCCTTGGCCGCCCGCCGGACCTCAACACATATCTCCCCCCTGCTCCAGCCTCAGAAAGAACATCATGTATCAATTGCTCAGCCTTCGCTATTTGATCTGGAGTACCCACAAGCTCAACCATCCTGTTCATAATTTTGCTCTTGTTGCATATGACCCTTCTGCTCTGGGAGCTGTTGGTGCCTCAGCAGTTCGTGCTGCTGAACTTCTTCCTGAACCTCCGCTGCGACGTGGAGATGCAGTCATTCTTGTGGGGTTAAGTAGGAGCCTGCAAGCTACATCAAGGAAATCTGTTGTCACCAACCCTTTTGCTGCTTTGAATATTGGGTCTGCCGATTGTCCACGCTTCAGAGCAACCAATATGGAAGTCATTGAGCTTGATACTGACTTCGGTGGTACATTTTCTGGTGTACTAATTGATGAGCATGGAAGGGTTCAGGCTATCTGGGGAAGCTTTTCAACTCAGCTAAAATATGGTTGTAGTTCATCAGAAGATCATCAATTTGTCAGAGGTATTCTAGTTTATACAATCAGCCACGTCCTTGACAAAATCATATCTGGTGGAAATGGATCAAATCTTCTCATAAATGGCATCAAAAGGCCAATGCCTCTTGTCAGGATCTTAGAGGTTGAATTTTATCCTACTTTGCTTTCCAAGGCCCGTAGCTTTGGATTGAGTGACAAATGGGTACAGGCTCTTGTTAAGAAAGATCCAATTAGACGTCAAGTCTTACGTGTTAAAGGTTGTTTTGCTGGATCAAAGGCTGAAAACCTATTAGAACAAGGTGACATGGTATTGGCAATTAATAAAGAGCCAATCACATGCTTTCGTGACATTGCAGATGCTTGCCAAGCGCAGTGGAGGATATTTAATTCAAGTGAAGGAATCTGGATTACACACTCCTGTATATGTCATCATGTTCTCCACTTCCTTTGCCTATTGGAGCTGGAACTCTGATTCCCAAACACTAATGATAGACAGACACACCATTCACACTGCCACATACACAGCACATGCATGACACCATTCACACCCATCCTTTCTTTTTATTTTAATACCCACATTCACTACCTCACCTTTATTTTCATTATTATAAAGCACTATCCCCAATTTTATATCAACTTTTCTATTCTAAACTTTTCTCCACCACCCAACACCATCATCACATTTTCCACCACCCATCTTTTATCTTTTATTTCATAAATAAATAAATAAATACATACATTAAACAAAAAAAAAAAAAAAAAAAAAAAAAAAAAAAAAAAAAAAAAAAAAAAAAAAAAAAACAATCAAACCAATTTCCATATTTGCACAACACACCATATTTTATTCATATTGGGGATCAACCCCAATCACACTTTTACAGCAAAACAAAAAAAAAATAAAATAAAATAAAAAATAAAATAAAAAAAAAGGAGAAAAGAGAAGAGGAGTAACTCAGAGTTACACTCGTACAGAGATTGAGTTGCACCCTATCACAAGATGAGTTTCACTCTCCATGTTTGTGTAATTTTTTATTTTTTTTTTCTTATCCTACCGTTAAGTGATTAAATTTCCCCATCCTGATCTCCCTGCTCCTCCACTGCAGCATATGGCGGCCCTCCAAATCGGAACATCACGGTGGCCTTCCGCTTCAGCTCCTTGTTTTCTGCCTTTAGCACACTTATCTCTGCTCGCGCATCCTTATACATGCGTTGGAGCAGAGCCAGCTGGGAGTTTAAATGTTGCACTTCATTTGTCCTACTCTGCAGCCGGTTCGACAAATTTGTAACCGCCGTCATGCTTTCTACACATGCCTTCAAAGTATACTGATTGGCCTCCACATCCGACTGCACTGCCATTCTTTGCTCCACAGATCGCATCGGAAAGTTCAACGGAGCAAACTCCGGGACGCTTGGTTGAGGTTCCAGTGCCACCGCACCAGTTCTCTCTCTTGTTGACTCGTTGAGGTCGGGAAAGAGGGTGAGCAGCCCGCGGGAAGACGATGCAGCCATTTTCTAGGCAACAGAGTGTTACACAGTATCTCTCTCAGCAATCTCTCTCAAAAAACAGAGTGTTACAGAATCTCTCTCAGAAATCTCTCTCAGAATATCTCTAGCAAGTTTTTGTCTCAGCCTTTTGCCTCGGCCTCAGCCTCCGTTAAATAGCCGAGGCAGCCACGCGCATCGCACGCCTCTTACCACTAGCCGACAAAACGGGCGCGCAAGCCAAGGCGCTCACGTGCCTCGCCATCATGTCCGGCTCACCTTTTGATGGCACGCCTTTTAATGGCACGCCTTTTGAAAAATTGGGCACACCTTTTGAGGGTGCAACTTCTACAACGGTCCGACAAGACCCCATAAACTGTCCCGACATTTGATTCCGGTTAGCTTTTACAAGGGTCCGACAAGACTCTGTAAACTGTCCCGACATTGATTCCGGTTAATTTCTACAAGGGTCCAGCAAGACTCCGTAAACTGTCACAACAACTGTCACAACACCTTTTGAGGGTGCGACTTTTTAAGGGTTAGTTTCTATCCTCCTTGAGTTTGCGGGGGGCTGTTAGAATTTACCATAACCCACTCCACCTACCACCTCCACTACCACACACACTCACCTACTTCACCTACTTTCCTACACCTACCACACACACTCACCTACTACCCAAATCTTCTTCTATATAATAGGAATCCTTGTAATATCAAATATAACACAACAATCTTGTAATACATCAATCAATAATATACATCAATTTATTTTACAGATATTTTCTTATAATTGAGTAGATGTGTGTGAGAGAAAAAGTGATTGAGAATGAGAGAGGAGAGAGAAAAAGTGATTGATTGATAGGTAAGAAAGAGAAAGTGATTTTAAAAATTGTTTTAGAAAATTTACAAGCCAAACAAATTTTTTGGAAAATTTTTCCCAAAATCACTCTACAAATCCAAACCAAACACACCCTTAGACTCTTGTATATGACCTGAAGTATGTTGGATGTAATGCATGGGTGGGGGCACATCATAGGACTGTATTGGCACTAAATTAGAGAATTCTGATAGCAACTTTTCAACCTCCAGCTTCAAAGGCTGTTTTGACTCAGGACTTGTAGTTGGTGGCTTTAGTTCTTGAGTCCTTACAATTGTTGTAGCATCCAATTCACTGCTTTTGGACTTTAGCCTCTTTGGGAATAATAATCGGAACTTGTTGGGGTGCTTTTGAACCATGAATGAGGGCCTCACCAACCTTGAAAATCTGATCATCTTCCACCTTGGGCAAATTTTGATCTTGGTCCTCTAATTCTACCTTGGAACACAGAGTTGTGAGTAAATACCTTCTTCAACCTTGATGCTTTTTGGGGTGATTTTGATTCATCAATCAAACTCTCTTTATCCTTGATAATTTGAGTGTTCATCACCTTGTCCTAAGTTGGTCGGCTCTCCAAAGCATTAAGCCATTGACTAAAATTATCAAGTTGTTCCACAATTTTTAAAATAATTTGATCCCTTTGGTTCTCAGAAAATATCTTTGCGACAAAAGATCTACCACAACGAATTGACATGTTTTATAGCTTGCTCTAATAATAGGATCTTTTGCTCTGATACCAAATTGATGCAGGACAGCGCTGTAAGGGTTGTTCTGGGGCTGTGAAAGTGCTGAAATTTAAGAAAGAAAGAAAGGAGAAGAAGAAAATAGGTCTAGGAATCACTCCTAGAGTTCTTTAAGCATCACACATAGGGTTTGATTGCATCACACAATCCATAAAAAGTTTCAAAGCTCTAAAAATTCTCTAAAATATTAAATATATTGTATTAGAAGCATTACATGACTTTATATAGATTTTAGGGACTTCCTAAAACAAGTAGAACCAAAAAATGAAACTACTATAATATTTTAGACTTCCAAAACTAATTTAAGACCAAATAAGAAAAATAAATAAAACTCAATTAAATAACTTGACTTCCAAGATGACCCATGGGCGACCCCTATAACCCATGACAACAATAATGAAAATTACCAACATACCCTTGACTTAAAAATTCTAGAAAACATAAAAATAATCTTAAAATACGACTCTAATAATACTAGTAACATTATTATATAAAATTCCTATCAATTTGTCTTTGACATCATGTCAACATCCAAATATTATTGCTTTTTTTGAATTTAGCCTTCCTTGAGCTTTTTATACTTCGCATCACCACGCCCCTCAACCCGATACAAAAGTCTGAAATGAAAATGACAAAGAACAAGGGCCGCCCATAATGGCTCCAAACTCCATGATAGGATACTAGGATGAAAATCACACCCAAAGTGAGTCACTATTCCATACCCCTCTACCTCTTCCAATAAGACAACAAATAAAGTAAATAAAATTACATTTACATGATCAATTAATACAAAGCAAGAATTTAATAGGTAAATATCCTGAGTGATTTAAATAGAGTGAGAGATGTTGCATTGTTAATTACCTAGGTAAACAAAAAATTGGTAAAATTTGATCCAGGTCACTAAGGGGTTTTTATTTTTTTTATTTTTACCAGGTAGGTATACTAGGAAATGCTGCTGATTTTTATGATAACAATCCAAATACCAGCACAATGGATGGTAACATGGATAGACGACAAATGATGATTGCCTTCGACATGAGGTATGGTGTGGAAAGTAAACTGAAGTTTGAAGTAATGTTAAATTTGTCTTTATAAGTTTTGTTCCCCCCTCTTTCCTGTATTATTGCACAGGTGTGTTGGATTCATGATCGCAAAAATGGTGTTGCGGGAACTTATGGAACCATTGATATTCACAAAGTTCAAATCATTCCTCACAAAGGTACAAGATTTCTATCCTTCCATTTTAAATTATTTTATTTTATGTTGTATTAGTGTAAAAATATATTGATAGAGATAAATTGTATGTCTTATTGATTGATTTCAATTTGTATACAATGACTCTCCTATATATAGAAGAGAAAAAACATATTCACCTACCACACTCAACTCTCACCTAACACACTCAACTCTACCAACCACACTTATAGCTATTTTATTTTATGTTGTATTAGTTTTACTCCTTTTTGTATGTGCTTGCTCTTCTTTTCTTTCCTTTTTTTTTTTGTTTTTTGACAGGGGACTGTGTTTCATTTTTGAAGTATGGCCTCGTGAATGAATATACAGAAGACATGAAAACTAAACAGGACACTAAAAAAATGTGTCCAAGATGAACAGTGATGCATTGTTAGTCAATCACTGAACTTATAACTTGAAAAATAAGGTGGTCCTCGTGTTGTCTAAATTGCTGTTCTAGGCAAGTGGAGGATGTTGATGCAGAACTTGCAGTTGCATGTTAGATTCAGTAGAAATTTGAACTAGATATTATCATAATTTATATTTCTCAAGGAAATTCAGCAATATTTTCCGTTAGAAGGCCCCTAGGTCAGTTCAGAAGCAATATGTAAACTTCTGGACCATCATAACCAAGCCAACACTTTCTGACAAGTGATACTGACTTGGTGATTATATACCAGAAGATGGTCTTTCTGATAAGTGATCCTTAAATCCTTAACCATGCATTTTAACTTGATTCTTATTCTAAAATTTGTTTGTCAGAAACTTTAAAACACAAATTCAGCATACATCCAGAGAAACCTCTATGTTTATTTTCTTCTTGCACATCCTCTCAGTACTTCCTCCCCATAATGCTGACTTGGCTTGCCCACAATTTGGAGTTTATTTTTCAGTGTTTTATGACAGAGCATCTAGTCAAGTCTAACAGATTATCAAATGCAGTTCTGCGAATGACTCCTCTTAAAAATCCATTGTTAATTTTACTTTGGTTTGTAAGTGTTAGGAAATGATCCTTCCTGCTTGCGTGAGTTTCTACTGCAAACTCTTGGTAGGAATTCCTCATCTGGGAATGCTGGACTTCAAGTTAGTAAAACACTGGGATTCTATTCCTCCCCCTTTTTGTGAAGATCTAGTTATCAACTGTCATAATATCTGTCTTGTAGATACTTGATCGAAACTGGGGTGCAGGTTGGAACCTGCTGTCCTTACTTCTTGCGAGCAAGCCTTCTGAGAGAATAAGGTATATATCAGTGACTACAGTAGCAGAAAATCTTTTCTGGTATATGATATATCGTGATAATTAACATTCTTAAAATACTGGGAAGTGATGATTGCAGAGCAATATACAATGACTGTATATGCACAAGTTAAATGAGAAAATGTTGATCTCTTGTTATTCGTAATGCATATTTTAACTTATCAATCATGTATGTTTCTATATGATGCATATAATATTGATGCATGCGCTTTATGTTAAAAATTAGAAAATGAAAATCATTCAAGCTACAATATGGACAATTCTTCTAGATTGATAAAACAGAACTGTAATTCCACAAATTGTAAAAGAACAAACACTTGTATAAATCAACTTTTAGATGGCTTGGTGGTGTGCTCAACTACGAAAATAAGAAGAAACATGTTTGCCTTTGTTTTGCACAGAGACATCAGAATTTCATTAAGCAGAGAGGTTTTAAAAGTTTCGGCTCAAGTTCTATTGCGTGTAAGACTCAACCTGCAGTAACTGTTTGAAAAAAAAGAAAAAAAAAAAGAAGAAAGAAGCAGTTGTGTGCGGTTTAAATGGAAGAGGATTCTCTCTCATAATGTGTCTAGTGAGGTTATAGACTTTGCTTCCTGTCATTTACTTGATTCGTTGTTTTGTTAATACAGTTTGAAAATCAATCATGGTTAAGAAAAATACATACTTCACAAAGAGTATGCAGGTTCCTTTGTCAAATTGGAATCTTAAGGTTTTTGCTGCACCCATTTCAACATTTGTCAGACCAGGCAATAGACAGTAGATTTCAACTATGGCAATTAGCTGGTGAAATATGATGATTGTTTTGATAATGATTAGTAATTTTAATTGTGTGACAGCCATTAACTGTTCGTCTGGACTGCTTTTCAGTTGTTTAGATGCTTTGAGACACCCATTTTTGTGTGGACCGAGATGGCGGGTAGACCCAACTATGGACATCATTAGATGGGGTCTGGGTTCAACAGCGGTTAAAATTACAGAGGAATACATTTATGGCCATCAACAGGTTTAAATCTTTTTCACTCGAATCAAGCTAATTATCTGTTTCAATCAACAATTTGAACTGCTTATTGGAGAAACAGGACTTGTTAATCTCATATTTGCACAATTAGCTACATTGATACTTAAGGAACCTCATGAGTAATGTGTATACATAATAACTTCCAGTTTACTTCTCTTATGATGAAAGACACTTATAGTGAATGTGCATCTCAGAATTTTATTGTCTTGCTACAAGTGCTGCCTCCTTTACTTCCTCCTGCTTGATTTGTTTAGTTTTGATAATTATCTATAAAATATTATTTTTGAAAACAGAAGTACAACAATGTAAGAGGTTCACTGACCTCTGGTTTATTTTCATGTTTTAGCGTAGTAGGCTTGCGCACTTCATCGAATTAATGGAGATGTTGAATCCACACCCGAAACCAAAGGTAAAGTACTCTTATTATTATTTTTTAAAATTATCATTTATTTTATAACCAGCAATGGGGTTAAAGTTGATTTATATTTGGTACTCAACCCCATCAACTATTCATTCAAACATTTTACCTTACTAGCTGCGATGTACGTGCGTTGCACGTAAATTGTCAAATTTATTTTAAATATTACATTTATAATAAATATAAAAAAATCAAAATATAGCTTATTGTATAAATATTTGATCATAATGGACTAATTATAGATTTTTTTTTTTTAATAAATAAGGGACTAATTAGAGAAAAATTGTATTTTACATGTAAGAAATTGTTATGTGTGTGTGTGTTTTATTTTTTTGGTTTTTTTGTTCACACAATATCAAAGTAATTGTAATATTAATATATTTATTTCAATTTTAAAAAAGAAACAAGAATGAAATTATATTATGACACATACATGAAATTATATAAATATACAGTTAAAAACTAAAATCATATATCATATAAGTTGCTAAAATCATATTTCAAAGCAATCTTACCTTTTTTGATAGCTTTTGGTAATGGGCCATCTAGGTTAACTGTGCTTTGTTTGTAATTTTTACCAAAATCTTATTCTCCCTATACTTCTTGTACTATCACTTTTGCTCCATTCAGTCTTTATCATAGTTGTGTTGATTCTTAAAAAAAAATATTTATAACTTATCGTAAAAATTTATCAAATCTTTATAGAATTTGTTTTTACATTCGTGCAATATGAAAAAGTGCACAAGAATTACATTAATTTTAAATCAAATCTTATTGTGTTACAATCAAAGCAAAACATGAGAATATAAAAGCGTTTTTATAACCTCATGGAGTTGGCCTGTGGTCAAGTAAGTACAAACAATTTCTTGGGATCAATCTATATGGAGGTTGTCGGATACTCAATTATCAAAAAAAAATGACATGCGTGTTTGTTCTAATGTAAACTACTTTCTTTTTAATTCAACTAAACATGAGAATGATATTCAACAGGTCCAAAGGAATCACCATTATTCTAAATTGAATGACAATTCTTCTTTGAACGCCCACTTGGATGACCATTATTCCAAATTAGTGAATAATAATTTCATATATATATATTGTTTTTTTTACCCAACCAATCATAGAAATTAAATATTCAAAAGAATTCACTATTCCGTTCCATATAACTAATCTAGCCATTTTTTGTTTGATTTGAAAATCAAATGATTGACATAGTATATATATGTCACAAATTAGTGTCCTTATGTTTGACATATTTATTTAAAACAACAAAAATAGGAAAAACTTTAATCAGTGAAAGTAGCATGAAAACCTTGAGGATCAACAGATTCTAGTGAGATCTAAACGGAAAAATTGTGAAACAGAGTTGTGGTATTACTGTACCATCATTGCATAAGAATTTTATTTTACCAGGCGGCAGCTTCGAAAGTGATGACAAGATTTGGGTGTTTCCTGCAGGATGCAAATGGCAACCCAAAAGCCTTCTTTCTTGGTTTGAATTTGCATGAATGTGTCGTTGGTTTCATAGCCTTCCGTTGGGTTTGATGTGCCGTTCAGATGAATTGGTTTTTTGAAATGATTTGATCACGTCGTTCTTTTTTTTTTTAAAACAAAAAAAATTTAATTTGTCAAGGGTGTTTTGGGAAATTAAAAGTAGACAAACACTTTCATTTTTTTATTATTAGTTTAGATTTAGATATCCTAGACATGTTTTCTAAAAAATAGGACAAGTAATTCTTTGTTTTGTTGTCATGCTTGGGTGGATTTTGGGTTGCCAGGCATCGGTTTGTCATCCATACAGTGCATCTTGTTTAATAGTAAGTAAAAAAAAACGATATAGATTTGGCTGATTAGTTTGATTCACTTGCAGAATTGGTTGGCCTTGCTGCCAGGAAAATGGCGGCTGTTGTACTGCACGGGAAGGCACATAGGATTGACCCTTCGGCAGCCTCCTTCCAGAGTCCTCATTGGCGATGTACATCTGACTGTAAACAGCACATCAAAGCTAAACACAACCTTTTCATTCTCCTCTGACATTAGTTTCACGGTGTTGATTGGTCAAGATTGGCCTCACGATAAGACAGGAGTAGTTGGGAAATTGGGGGTGAACTCATCTTTCCAATTAACAGCGGGTAGACGACAATATCTTAATGAAGAAAAGGTCGCAACAACATTTCTCCCGTCACCACCACCAAAAACCCATGATTTTGTAGCTAAAAAACTCTCTGGTAAAAGATGGAGGAAAGCAATTCCTTTTAAGGAGTTCCCATCGAGCCTTCCTGTAACTAAACTCATCTCCAATGAAGTTGAGGTCACACTGAGTCTCAATGATCCATTAGGGAAGAATGTCGACAGTGCCAAAAACGCGGTTCATGAAGTCAGGACACAAGTTCCACCTGAAATGTTTGATCTCTCGAAAGTAGTCTGTGGAACATATGTCGACACTAGGCTGCTGGTTCTCCGTGGGGTGAGTGGATCAGCACTCTTTTTTACTAGGTCTTGTGCAAATGAAAACTGTAGATGACAGTTCCTTTGTGTTTTGTGCGATAGGCAGGGGAAGTAACAATGTATCATTGGTTTGTAAATACCTTACTGATTTCCCTCCTCAGAGGTTAAAAAAGTTTGGCAGTGTACTTTTCTCCTAATTGCATTTTTAGTACTATAGAATGGGTTAGTTTTGCATTCTCTTTTTTCTGTTTGGTACACCTCATGTAAGTAGGAAAAACAATCAGTGTGTGTAGTTTAGTTTTTTGGATTAAATTTTTTGAAAACTCAGTTTTTTAATTTTCTTATTTTTTTGTTTTTAGCGAATATTTTTAAAATTTTAAACATTTGTTTTATTTTTTTAGGTGCATCTTACTTAGATGTATCTAAAAATTAAAAAATGTGTGAAAAAATATTTTAAAAAATTAATAAATACATGAAAATACAAAAAATATACTGAATTCTTGTATTTTTTTTGTATTTAGTGAATTTTTAAAAGATTTTTTTTACAATTTTTTAAACTTTTTAGATGTATTTATGTTAGGTGTGTCTAAAAAGTAAAAAAATTGTTTAAAATATTAAAAAAAAATCAGTAAAAATAAAAAAAATACGGAAAATAATAAAATAGAATTTTTTGAAAAGTGTTTTTAGTAAAATAAAACCAAGCAAGCTGAATTCTATCGGAATAGTCATTTTAACTTCCTCTCTCCAAACTAAGTAACCATTTTATCATGAAATCATTTCAAAACAAATATCTTATCACAAAAATACGTGGGAATAGTCATCAAAAAATTATAGCCAGCAGCGATAATCGAAGGTGGTGGTAGTGGTGGTCAATAGTGGTAGTATGTAGTGGCGGAGCCATAGTGCGTCCAGGGGGTCACGTGCCCCCTGGGTTTTGGAATATTTTTTCTTTTTTTATTGCAAATTTAAAGAAAATATTTTAAATAAAAAAATTATAAAATATTATTTAGAATGAAATATTAATGTCATTTTTAAAATGATGAGAATAAAAATAGTTGTTTTTTTTATTAAAAATAAAGATATTACGATAAGTCATATTATTATTAAAAAAAATTTCAATACAATTGTGATGTCTATCATTGTTGATATACAATTATAATTAATCTCAATGAAGATATAGAATTTATTGAATTGTTAGTTACATTTGACATTTAGGGTTCATCCTCTATGTGTTTCTTTACTATTGGTGGGTGATACCATGTCAATGATGACGTGATATCACTGTTATATTGAATTTTTACTGAAATTTTGTATAAAAAATTACTTTATCATTATATAATTTATTTTAAAACTTATATCCATGACTTTTTTTTTATATATATTGTCCATGATATACTAATTATAAATAATATATATATATATATATATATCTTTCTTGAAGTCAATCGTAAAAATTTATGTGAAATATTTTTGTAAAAATTTTCAATATTATAATTAATAAGTGTTCCTTCTGATTTAATTTCTTGACTCTGACACTGATAGTATGTGAGAGTGTAATAACACAAAGGTGAAAATGAAAGGAAAAAAAAAAAAAGCACTTCAAGTAATTTGAATTTCTCACCAAATAATTTTGTTAATCATATTCTTATAACCACAATAAAACAAGAAAAATGCTTCCTACCCCCAGCTGGGGGTGACACCCAGTGAGGTGTCAGCTGGGGGTTGGAAGGAAAAAAACAGTTTTTCTTTTTTTTTTTTTTTTTGATTTTCGACCAGTGGGGGCACGCCACGTCACTGGGGGCGCGACCCCCACTGGGTGTAGGAAGCATGGTTGATAAAACAATACTTGAACAATGTCATACCCCCATAAAGATGGATTTCTCACCATTTTTTTTTTTTTGGTCCTTTTAGCTTTATTGAAATAAAAGTCAGTGTAATCATATAAAAACTGTAGAATTTGTTGTATTTTTTTTTTCAAAAATCAAAAGAGATCAATGTGATTTATCTATATATATTATGGGGTATCAAAAAATAAAATAAAATCACCTTGGAGAGTTATAGGGAGATGGGTGTATGGGTTCAAAAAATTTGGTGGAATTGGTAAATCGAAGCAATTTAGTTCAAATTGTAAGTTTGGTTCGATTTTTACTACTTTTGGTTCTAGTTATAGTTTAAAAAATGGTTGAATCATTTAAATCAATCTTGTTCACGATTCTAACATTTTAGTTATGATTTATTTATATTTATTTATTATTTTTAATATTTTTGTATGTACAAATAAAAATATGGAATTTATTAGTGAGATTTCAATACTAATCTTGATTGTAAAAATGACAAATTCTAATCAACTTAATTAAACTAATTATTGTTATAAAATATATATATCATAATTCTTATTATATAATATTCCATAAAACGTAAATTGAATTGAACCAAACAGGCTTTTATAGTTTAGTTACATAAGTTTGACAATTCGATTATGATTTTAATTGGAGTTTAGTTATATACACACCACAATTACTCTCAGTACCACATCATTTACTCAGTACACACCACACATAAATTAAATATGTTGATTATATATCAATACATACCGTCAATTTTCATATAATACTATATTACCCTCATCTCTTCCAACAAACCCTAACCCTAGAAGGAAGGCTTCATCTGCTCCAAGCCCCTAAAAAAGTAAAGGGCGACACCCTAGGCCACCATCTACCATTGGCAATCACTTTTCTCTCCTCTTCGTTTCAGCACTCTCCTCTTTCCTTGGTGTCCTTTATTCTATTCAACCCCTACTACCACTGCCCTACCACCATCACTGCCTCCTCCTACTACGACATCTAACCATTGTAGCGTTATCCATTACGATTCCATTGTCGCAACGCTACATATCTCTCTCTTTTCAAACATAGATCTCTCTTTATGGACTGTGCGTGATCGGTTGCTGCTTAGGGTTGAGTTGCGATAGTGGTAGGTCATAAAGGTTTGGAGGTGCGATGGTGGTGGGTCGACAGGAATGGTGGTGGTTGCAGGGTAGTGAAGATAGGGATGAGCTTAGAAAGGCGGCGGTTGCAGCCACTAGACTGAAGAAGAGAGAACCGGTGGCTAGTGTTAATGGTGTTGGTAGCTGAGGTTGATGATGGTGGTGTTTGGTATGGTGTTGAGAGAATTTAGAATTTTGTCCTAAAAGGTAATTTCATTAAGAGACATAATGGTAACAAAAAAAAAAAAAAAAGAGATAATGTTCTAAAATGAAAGTACGAGGGATTCTACTTATACCACTACGTTACCTCTTTACACCCTTCATATGAATTTTTTTTTTTTCAAATTTACCCATGTGTAAAATTACGTTTAAACAAAACACTAAAATTAAACATATTTTATTATCTCTTTACACCCCTTACTCTTCAATCCCTACTCATCTTCTTCCTTCTTTCTCTTATACATCTCTTTTTAAAAAGTGAGAATCATATTGTTTTGATCATAGAAGAACGCAATGGATGAAGAAACGGTGGTGAAGAACCATAAAAAAGTGAGTTTTTTTTTTTATTTGTTTGGTAGGTTTTTGTTTCGTTTTTCTAGATTGTTCTTTGACTTTTGCTCGATATTTCAAAATCGAACAAAATAAAATAGTCTGATATCACATTGCTGAACAAAAAATATGTGTTTAGTAACTAACTGGCAAACAAAAGATACATTTCCAGTAACTCAAGGCTGAATTTTTAAAATTTTTTTGGCTACTCATTACTGTGTATTTCCAATTTCATTATATATATATATATATATATATATATTTGCTTGGAAGGATTATGCTTTTACTCATTGCAACAATGCAGGTACTGCATTATTAGTGGACTCCAGTCATAAATTCATTACAGACGAGGTTTATTAAGTTTTTTTATGAATACAATTTTTTTTTTAATTTTTAATTTGTATTGAGTTTTATTAATAACTTGACGTATAAATGTATTTATTATTTTTAGATTTTTAGTAGTCGTCAAGCATTAATTAATTTTGTTTTTGACGTTGGGAAGAAGACTGGATTTGTCATTATTATAAAGACATTAGATGCGGGAGGTAATGGTAGAAAACTAAGACTTACACTTGAGTTGCATTTGAATATAGTGCATTACGTACAACTATTTGGTTCACATGAAAGGGTTAATGACCTTACTTCTATCTTATCCAACTTCGACCCTGGCCTTGAATTTAATCATTGGATGACTATGCTTGACATGGGCTATTTGATAGTATCATACTACCGAGTCGTTCTTTATCATTTATCCATGCAATAGTGCTTGATGTTTTTACCACTTAGATTAGTACCAATTGCAACACCTGAACAAAAAGATATTTGCATAGGATTTGTAAATGGAAACTATTTTGTATAGGTACAAACTACCGAGTCTGCTTAGATTATTGCCATGTCTTATTTTGTAATTCTACTTATTGATGTCTTTGTTATACGTATAACCTGGTCATCCAATACCTCCGATAGCAAATAATTGGATTCGTTTTCATCACTTGTGTGCTAGTAGATGGAAGAAAGCATATACTACCTCGTATTCATCAATTTTGTACACTTGCTGTAGTAATTACCAAAACTACTAATATAGACAAATTGTGAAAACATGTTTAATTGATGGATGAAAACAATAACAGATTTTATGGATGCTTTTATGGATATATTATACACTTGATATTTTTGTGAATATTTTACGGATACTTTTTATGTATAATTTTATGGATGTGTGTTTGATTTATGGATGTTTTTTATGGATGCATGAAGGAAAAAGTAAATCTTTCAACATACAATAATAGGTGATTAGATAAATCTATTATAGTTTGGCAACACGACACTAGAGTAATCTAATTTGTATAGTAATGTATCACCAAACAGACACTTCACAAGTGACCTCGAATTAATTTATTGTTATTATCCAATCGAACGCCAACATATTGCAGGGAAAAAAAAGTTTGTTTAGTAATATAGCATTGGATTAATTTAATTCATTAGCATTGTATTACCGAACAGCCCAACACAAATTTAAAAATCATTATTCGGAAGAAAGTGGCTCTATAAACGTATAACAACAAAACAGTGAGAAATCTATTTTTTCTGGCAACATAACACTAGAGAAATGTAAATTGTTTAGCACTGTGTGACCGAACAGGCACTTCGCTGTGAGCTTCATTCACTGTCTTCCCTGTCTTTCTCTTTGCCCTTGTTGCCAAGTTTTGAAGAGTTTTACTTTAGGGTTAATTTTGGTAATATAATAAGTGTAATAAGAATAATATTTTTTTTAGTAGTATAACGAGATAACAGGTGTGAAGAGGTAAAGTAACAGTGCAAGAATCACTCGAAAGTAATTACGGTGTGTACCCATTATAAAATTGGACTAATCCCTTGAAGCACCCTACAAATGGGGTATCTCTAGAAATAGTCTGTATAGTTGGGGTAGTTCCACAAATACAAAATAAGATGGGTATCTCTGTGAACATGATCACCTGTCGATCACGGTGACCCCTCTGAAGGAGAAATGCCCACTGATCTGGTTTAATCAAAAGCCATTGATGCACAAGGACGCTCAATATTCAACAAACCCACAACAATGTGGAAGCTGAACCAGTCAATTTTAGGCGGAGACGAAGAGTTACAAGACAACCTGTTGGATGGACAAGAAGGCCTCTGTTCTATATCCCCTTTGCAGGTACTTTGAATTATTTTATTATAAATTCACTCAGTTTTTTCAAACATTATTAGGTTTTTTCCATTTGGGTTTTAAGTCTTTCTTGTTCATCTTGTTTGAGCAGAGAATTTATGGATTCGCTGCATGTTTGGTTGCTGGCTTCGTTTGTATGTTTCTGGTATGACCTTTTTCGAATACGCTTTAATTTATTTAATTTTTTTTTTTTGTAAAATGGTTTCATTTAGCGTGCTTGAGGTGGAAAAGAGATGATGTAATACGATAAACTTGTGTGTAAAGCCTTACTCATTGACCATCTAGATAGTATAAAATTTTGCTAAAACCCTAATTACTTCCATGCATTGGAAGTATGATAAAAACTCTTTTAAGTTGACATGAATTATGTACAGGATTGGCATTTGCTTAGGTAGTGATTTTAACCCACTTACTAGTGTTATTATTATGGGGATATCTCTGAGGTCCACTCTTGGCGTGGCTGAGGATGTATATTCTGATTGAATCTGATGCAAAACTGCTATCAAAAGTATTTTATAAAATCAAGAGCGCAGCCACTCAGGCCTAAGTTTCAACTACAAGGAAATGCGTGACAATGTTTTGATTAATGTAAAAGTTCCATTTGGGTTTAGGGTTTTGCTACCGAGTCATTATGAATTTAACTTCTAACTGTCTGTGCAAAGAAGTCAAGAATAGCTTCTTCTTTTTTTTTTTTTCACACCATTGATTTGAAGATGTTTTTTCTTATCTCTTATGAAGAACCTACTGCTAAGAAGCACGGACACTTCTAAAAATGTGATGTATTTGTGTTGTGTCCGTGTTAGACACCGATACTTTTTGGACACTTTTAGGACACATGTCCGACACACTTCAAAAAGTGTCCTATTTTTTAAATTTTTGTAAAGACTCGGACACTTGGAGGACACACGTGTCAATTGCTTAAACACACGTGTCTATCGATTAGACACATGTGAAACTAATTATAAGTTTGAACAAAACAACTTAAGATACAATAATAAAACAAAAATCATATAAATTTATAAGAATTAGTGTCATATTACAATTTTTATTATCTTTGAATGATATATTCATATATATAACATATAATAAATATATAAAATTATATATTTCATGCGTGTCCTCCACGTGTCGTGTCCTGCATTTTTTTGAAAATTACCATCTTGGCGTGTCCGTGTCGTATCCGTGTCGTGTCACATGTCCGTTTCCGTGTCGTGTCACGTGTCCGTTTCCGTGTCCATACTTTTTAGACCTACTGGTATGTTTCTAAAACTTGCATATGTTCACATGCAGTTGAAATAAATTAGTTAGATCGAGGAGTAAAATTTCAGTAGTGATAGGTAGCTGTGATGATTGTCTTTTATGAGAGCCTTGCTTATTAGGCTTGAGCCTATGGTTATTTAAAACCTCTAGGTTTTGTTTTAAATTTTAAGTTGCTTTCGTGATCTTCATGGTGAGAAGATGTGATCCTTAGTCCATAAGCCTACCGGTCTCTTAAATTGATTGCGGCATTATTTTAAATACAAAACTATGTACTGACAACAAGATCTTGGAGGTGTTTGCTATAACATTTATTGAAGAAAATGATTTGCATCTATTGCTGATATTGCTGACAAAGCAGTAAACACCTTGTATCAACTCACTTTTTATTATTATTATTATTTATTTTTATCAGCATCAATCAAAATAAAAATAAAAAACAAGAAGAGAAAAAAGAAAAAGATTATTACAACAATAGTCCCAACACCCTTAATGCACCCCAAAAAACACTACACCCAACTATAAAAATTTCAAAACATTACCATCTTCATAAAAGTTTCTTTTTGAATTTTGTAATTGCTTTACAATTTAAGTTTTTCTTATAACAGGTCCAACTTAGGTTTTTGTATCTGGTTACAGTGTCATGTTCTCATCATCCTTGATTTTGTTTAAAGTAAAAGGGAGTATGTATAATCATCATACTCTTGGTTTTACGCTTTTCAATTATATTGATTTTTTTTTTCTTTGCATGATTCTTATTTTTATTAAAAGAGAATATTTATAATCATCCTACTTTAGGTTTCATGCTTTTCAGTGATGTAGTATTTTTTGTTGGTTAGGTGTTGGCTATGTTGATAGTCATCATATCCTTTGGCTGGCTCTATTCACAACATTGGAATTATATGAACATTTTTTCTGGGATCATCCATTTGCAAGCCTTACAAAGTTGCTGAAGGCTGGGATCCTTGTTCCACTATTTAGTGTTATTAAGAATGGCGTGAATAAGCATACTTGTTTTGAATGGTTTTGGTTGCGTATGAGAGGGTTCGTGGATGTCACTGGAAAATTCGAAGGTCTCCGTAAAAGTCACTGGAATCTTTGAATGTCGGCAGAAACTTTGAATTGGAAAAGTCGCCGGAATCTTCGAAGGCTTGCTGAAAAATTTAAATGTCGCTAAAAATTTCAAATGAAAAATTCGAATGTCGCCGGAAATGTCGAATCTCTTAGAAAAATATGGGGAGGCTAAGATTTTTCAATGGTCACAACTAATGAAAACCCACATAGAGAAGAGATGATGAGAAGAAAAGGTTGGGTGAAGAAGGTAGCAAAGTAGTTAGAGAGAGAATAATGGCAAGGCTCTCCCATGGATTTCCCACTAACTCTCAAGGTAGATAATGGAGAAGAGATATTAGTTCTCTCCCAGAATAATCTCTCCAAAATCCTCTTCCTTGAAAAGCTATGGGTGAGTGCTATTTATAGGCATCTCATGATGTAGGATGGAGCCCATGTGCAAGGCACATGGGGAATATTCCCTCTAACTACTTTGTCCGAGAAGGTGACCTTTCCGAAGATGAGAAAAATTTCGAAGAAGAGATCAACGTCTTGGCGAACCCTTTTCTTAGCCATGCCTAACCAATGATCCTCAATCATCCCAAAGGTTCAGGGATAGTCCCAGAGGACACCTTGCTGCAGAATGGTTACGGGTAGTTCAAGAGAACGTTGTACCGCAAATATTGCCGAGTCTCAGGAACCTCTTGGATCGTGCCCCCAATATGGATATAAGCTAGTTTAACCGAAGAGTGAATTTATCTCCATTCACTGTCCGCGGGATCAGGTCTTTTGTTCAGACTCTGTCACGACCATAGTTTTGGTGTGTAGATCCCTAAAAGTTCTGAGCCCTCAAGTGTTTTGGGACTCATTAACGGAGTGACTTTTAGATTGCGTTTGAATCCGTTCGAAGCTAAGCGTTTAAGATCTCTAGGTTCGTGGATCCGAATCTTTTTGAGTGCTAGCTCAAATAGGTCTTTAGGCTCGTGGTTCCGAGTCCTTTCGAGACTAAGCAAATATCTCGGAGAATGGATCTCCTCCGAGGGTTTCATCTCTTCTGAAAGTAATGATTAATCTTCTCAGACACTCATATGATCTGGGCTTTCTTGGATGGGCTTGTTGGACTTTTTCTAGAGATATAAGCCTAATGAGTCCTCCTCGGCCCAATTTGTTGACTTTTTCGCGGGTCCATTCAATAGAATTCATTTGAGACCACTTGGTGATAATTTCTCTGGACCCATTAATTTTAGGGCTTTTCGATTGGGTTTCGATTCGACCCAGTTAATTTAATGGGTTGAAGTTAACCCCTCTTGCATTTTGCTCCTTACATGTATGGGACATTTTGAATTTATTGGACATGCATATTTTGACTTCTTCGAACATATTTTGTCTTCATTTCCTCGGACATGTCTTGTGTCACTTCCTCGGATGTATTTCGTCTCAATGTGACCTATGGATAAGGTTGACAACTCATAATAATAAAAGAATATTTTTGGTCCTTATGCCATGTTTGGCCCACACACTTTTATACTTTCTCAGATTTTTGATAAAAATATCAAGATTTAATATTTAATTAATACACCGGCTTAATAATTCCAAAACAATCAAAATTTGATTGTTTTGTTCTTGATTGATCCCCCAACCAAATAAGTAAGCCCTCTCTCTCTAGAGTTTCAACCGACCCATTCTCTTTCTTTCTTTCTTTCTTTCTTTTTTTTTTTTAAAGAAATTGAAGACCAACTCTCTACTAAATAATTAAATAACCCGGATTCTTGTTCCTTCTCTCTCTTAAACGAACATAGACCCAAAAGCTTTTATTCTTTGTCCTCTTGCTCTGAGCACAACAAAGAGTAGGATTTCAATTTTCTCAAGACTGACGGCCAACAAAGCTTCTGCCGAGTGCTGACCCAAAAAATCATCAAGGCCCATTTTCTTCTCTCCTCCAGCAAAGTGAAACCCACAATATTTTTGGCCTCTTCTGGAAATCAAAGTCTCCAAGCTTCACTCTCTATAAGATTTTTTAGCTGGTCCTACTCTTTCTCTAAAAAAATTGAACAAACCAAAGCTTTGTTCCATTGCTTCAAAGACGAATGAGGACTACTGCCATTCGCACGCTGCTGACCCTTTGCTGCTGACGCAAGCCAACGGCGTTGCTCCCATCGTCGCCAGCTACTTGTCATGCCACCGACCCCTCTTGGTCCTTGGCTATGAAGCACGGACACTGACACGGACACGGACACGGACACGGATACGGACACGGGACACGGCAATTTCCAAAAAATGGGGACACGGACACGGCAGGGGAGAGGCGATTTTTTATATATATATATATATATTTTTATGTGTTATGTAGATTCGTATTACATTCATTCTAAATCAAAATTAACAAACACTAATATAGTACCATTAATTCAAACCGGAATCTTCGAATGTCGGCAGAAACTTTGAATTGGAAAAGTCGCCGGAATCTTCGAAGGCTTGCCGAAAAATTTAAATGTCGCTAAAAATTTCAAATGAAAAATTCGAATGTCGCTGGAAATGTCGAATTTCTTAGAAAAATATGGGGAAGCTAAGATTCTTCAATGGTCACAACTAATGAAAACCCACGTAGAGAAGAGATGATGAGAAGAAAAGGTTGGGTGAAAAAGGCAGCAAAGTAGTTAGAGAGAGAATAATGGCAAGGCTCTCCCATGAATCTCCCACTTACTCTCAAGGTAGATAATGGAGAAGAGATATTAGTTCTTTCCCAGAATAATCTCTCCAAAATCCTCTTCCTTGTAAAGCTATGGGTGGGTGCTATTTATAGGCATCTCATGATGTAGGATGGAGCCTATGTGCAAG